CTCCTGATCATATGGTACCTCCTGAAATGGCTGAACGTTGACCAATTCTTTTTGGCACAGTGACTCTGAAATTCCTTCATCTTCTTTTGATGCTTCCTGCGTTGTTTAATATTTTTCCCATAGAATCCTTCAATATTGCAACTTGAGGCTTCCATTTTTTCTTCAGTTCTTTCAGCTTGAGAGATGTCAAGCGTGTTCTTCCCTTTTGGTTTTCTATCTCCAGCTCTTTGCAGATGTCATTATACTTTACTTTGTCTTCTCGAGCTGCCCTTTGAAATCTTCCATTCAGTTCTTTTACTTCATCATTTCTTCCTTTAGCTTTAGTTACTCTGCATTCAAGAGCAAGTTTCAGAGTCTCTTCCGACATCCATTTTGGTCTTTTCTTTCTTTTTAATGACTTCTTGCTTTCTTCATGTATGATGCCCTTGATGTCATTCCACAACTCATCTGGTCTTCAGTCATTAGTGTTCAATGAATCAAATCTAATCCTGAGATGGTCTCTAAATTCAGGTGGGATATACACAAGGGCACGCTTTGGCTCTCGTGGACTTGCTCTAATTTTCTTCAACTTTTACTTGAACAGGCATATGAGCAATTGATGGTCTGTTCACAGTCAGCCTCTAGCCTTGTCCTGACTAATGATATTGAGCTTTTCCATTGTCTCTTTCCACGGATGTCTGTTAGTTTGTCTATCACGTGTCTATGAGTTTGTCGTACTGTGGGGGCTTGGGTATTTCTGTGATACTGGAAGTTTTGTCACTGGTATTTTAAATACCAGCGAGGTCACCCTTGTTGGATAGGTTTCAACTGAGCTTCTAGAGTAAGACAGACTAGAAAGAAGGACCTGGCAGTCTACTTCTGAAAAAATTGGCCAGTGAAAACCTTATGAATAACAGTAGAACATAGTCTGATATAGTGCCAGGAGATGAGTCCCAGGTTGGAAGGCACTCAAAAGATGACAGGGGAAGAGCTGCCTCCTCAAAGCAGAGTCGACCTTATGACCTGGATGGAGTCAAGCTTTCAAGACCTTCATTTGCTGATGTGGCACGACTCAAAATGAGAAGAAGAGCTGCAAACATCCATTAATAATTGGAAAGTGGATTGTATGAAGTATCAATCCAGGAAATTAGAAGTCATCAAAAATGAAATGGAATGCATAAACATTGATATCCTAGGCATTACTGAGCTGAAATGGACTAGTACTGGCCATTTTGAATCAGAGAATTGTATGATCTGCTATGTTGGGAACTACAAATTGAAGAGAAATGGTGTCGTTTTCATTGTCAGAAAAGAACATTTCACGATTTATCATGAAGTACAATGCTGTCAGTGACAGGATAATATCCATACACCTGTAAGGAAGAAGGAAGCCTGGTGGAACAGTGGTTAAACATTCAGCTGCTAACCAAAAGGCTGGCAGTTCGAATCCACCAGCTGCTCCTTGGAAACCCTATGGGGCAGTTCTACTCTGTCCTATAGGGTCGGTATGAATCGGAATCAATTCAACGGCAATGGTTTTTTTTTTTTTTTGGTTATTTTTTAACAAGGAAGACCAGTTAATAAGCTATTGTTCAAATTTACCCACCAATCACTCAGGCCAAAGATGAAGAAATTGAAGATTTTTACCAGCTTCTGCAGTCTGAAATTGATCAAACATGCAATCAAGATGGATTGATAACTACTGGCGATTGGAATGGGAAAGGTGGCAACGAAGAAGGATCAGTAGTTGGAACATATGGCCTTGGTGACAGAAACGATGCCAGAGATGGCAGGATAGAATTCTGCAAGACCAATGACTTCTTCATTGCGAATACCTTTTTTTCAACAACATAAATGGCGACTATACACGTGGACCTCACCAGATGGAATACACAGGCATAACATTAAGGGATCTAATACACGGAATAAATAGGATATAAACCATAACTAACAATGCACAAACACCAGAAGATAAACTAGATAACTGGGAGCACCTAAAAATTAAACACTTATGCTTATCAAAAACTTCACCGAAAGAGTAAAAAGAGAACTTAAAGAATGGGAAAAAATTTTGGCTACGACATAGTCAACAAGAGTCTAATCTCTAAAATGTATAAGATACTGCAACACCTCAACAACAAAAAGACAAACAATCCAATTAAAAACAGGCAAATAATAGGAACAGACATTTCACCAAAGAAGACTTTCAGGAGGCTAACAGGCACGTGAGGAAATGATCAAAACACTAGCTGTAAGAGAAATGCAAATCAAAACTACATTAAGATACCATCTCACTCGGACATTATTGGCACTAATCAAATATCAGAAAATAACAAATGTTGGAGAGGTTGTGGGGAGATTGGAACTATTGTGTACTAATACTGGGAATGTAAAATGGTACAACCACTGTGGAAAACTATATGGTACTTCCTTAAAAAGCTAGAAATAGAAATATCATAGGATCCAGCAATCCCTCTCCTAGGAATACATCCTAGAGAAATAAGAGCCATCACACGAATAGACATATGCACAGCCATGTTCATTGCAGCATTATTTACAATAGCAAAAATACGGGAACAACCTAAGTGCCCATCAACAGACGAATGGATAAACAAATGATGGTATATACACACAATGGAATACTTTGAAACGATAAAGAACAATGATGAATCTGGGAAACATCTTACGACATGGGTAAATCTGGAGGGCATTATGCTGAGTGAAATAAGTCAATCACAAAAGGACAAGTACTGTATCAGATCACTATTACAAAAACTCAAGAAAAGGTTTACACACAGAAAGAAACAATATTTGATGGTTATGACAGAGGGGAGGGTTAGGCAGGAAAAATCACTAACTAGATAGTAGATAAGTATTAGCTTGGGTGAGTGGAAAGGCAGTACACAATATGGGGGAAGTCAGCACAACTTGACCAAGGCAAAGTCATAGAAGCTTCACAGACACATCCAAACACCCTGAGGGACTGAATTACTGGGGTTGAGGACTTGGGATCATGGTCGTGGGGGTCATCTAGATCAGTCGGCATAACACAGTACATAAAGAAAATGTTCTACATCCAATTTTGGTGAGTAGCGTCTGGGGTCTTAAAAGCTTGTAAATAGCCATCTGAGATATCTCTATTGGTCCCATCCCACCCAGAGCAAACGAGAATGAAGACAACCAAAAACACAAGGGAAATATTAGTCCAAAGGACCAATGGACCACAACTACCACAGCCTCCACCAGCCAGAGTCCAGAACAACTAGATGGTGTCCAGCTACCACCACCACCTGTTCTGACAGGGATCACAATAGAGGGTCTGGGACAGAGC